TCAGAGGTTATTCTCCCTAAATCAGCCATCTAGAGTGGCCAGACTGACTCACCCCAAATAGGGCCCATTCCTTTCGGTTATTGTTCCCTTGAAGCAGTGCCCATAGGCAAGCCCAGGACCACTCTAAGATGACTAAGCTTAGGTTACTATCTTACCACAGGTTACTATCTTACCACACATGCCCCCCTATTCCCTCCTCTTACTATTGCACATTCACCCCTAGGTCATCCCCTCCTATTGCTTGTATTGCCTATGTTACAACCCCTCTCTATGAAGTAGGTTGCTATCTGCTATCAGGGGGCTTGCATGCCTCCCAGGATAGTAATTGCCTGCTTTATTGTATGAGACACCAGAATGGTCAAACCTGTTCAAGGATGAATTGTATTGCCCCTCTCTGTGATGCATGATGCTGTGATGTATCCCCCTAAAGTAATATGATACGTGGTTAGCAATAAATAAGGAGAGCTGCTTCCCAAGAGAGGCAGCTCCCAAGAGGTGGCTGGCCGAGGGTGGCTAGCAGAGGGCAGCTGAGGAAGGAGGGCTGCTCCCATGAGGGCGGTGGATGAGAGGGCAGCTCCCGCGAGGGAGGCGGCTCCTGCTCTGGCGGCCGGGTTCCCCCCACGAGGACCACCAAGCGGGGCGGAGGTGAGCAATGGTACTATGTAACATGCCTGACTGTATTATTGTATTATCTCTCATGCTCTCAATGACTTTAATATAATGCTTATATATCTCAACCGTACAATTGTGCATTACTGAACCCAGAAGTAGTATTATTGAACCCGAGTAGTAGCAATAGTAGTAGCAGCGGGTAGGGGCTGGCCCTTCACCCCACTCCTCAGCGCCATTTTTAAAATTTAATACTACACACAAGAAGACTGGAAAAATCAAAGAGAAACAAAAATAAGAAAATAAAAAAGACAATAGAGACTTAAGCCCTAACATGTCCATAATTACATTACATGGAACTATCCCAAGTATACCAATTAAAAGAGATTATATCAGAGGGTCTTAAAAAGCATGACCCAATTGTGTGCTGTCCACAAGTAGTATTCCCTTCAAGTAGAACAATGGGGGTAGATTGAAAATCGGAGGGTGAAAGTATATTATGTGAGTATTAAACAAAGAGGAGCAGAAGTGGCTGCACGAGAGCACTTTTGGTGATTATTGATATCTGAGTCCCCAAGCCCCCAAAGCTTTGACTTAATTGGTCTTTGGTAGGGCGCTGGCATCAGTGCCTTTTAAAAAGCATCCCAGGTGATTCTAATCTCAGTCAGTGTTGAAAACTCCCTACTCAAACTCCATGTTTTGTTTTGTTTTGTTCAAAGTTTAATGTGTATACAGATAACCTAGGGATCTTATAAAAATGTATATAACTCTGATTCAGTAGGTCTGGGCTGGAGTCCAAGTCAGCATTTCAAAAAATATTTGAGGACACAACCAGGCTGGGGGTCCATTGACCACACTTGGAAGGGGAATGGCCATTCAGTGTTTCTCAGCTTCAGCACTACTGACATAGGAGATAGATAATTCTTAGTGGTTGGGCTGCCCTAGGCATTGTATGATAGATATGTCCATCCAATAGACATCAGTAGTACCCCCCAAGTTATGACAATCTAAAAATGTCCCCATATACTGCCAGATGTGCCCCTATAAGGCCAAATCATTCCCAGTTGAGAACCACAGGCCTAAAGTGACCATAATCTATGGATGAACCCCATGGCAGTTCTTTTTCATTGCCTCGTGCCCTCAGCTATACCTCCATCCTCTGTCCAATCCAGACACTCACAGTGATGTGGGCTTTAGAAAGCGAGGCATATTCTCAGACTGGGGAGACGGGCGCTCTTTCCCTGACTGCATTCCCTACCAGAAGAATGCCTTCTTCCTGAATGGGAGCCCCGTGTTGAGGTGTCTCACAGCCCTTTTACACTCCTGGTTCCTGGATGGGAACTGGAACTTCTCAGAGAGGGTGGATCTAGCTGAGGGTGGGGTGATTTGGAAGAAGCAGTGGGAGCAAGAGCCAAATGTGATATTTCTTTTGAGGCTCCATATATCAATCCTGTCTTTGCACACTCAGAAAGTATGTGCTGAACTAACCACACAACAATTGTCTCAGTCAGACCTCAGGGTGTTTCTCAAGATGAAGTTAATGATCAGAATGATACACATAAGCTAACATCTCAAAATTAATTCACGCTGTTGTTCAAAATGTAGAAATTTGAATTTCAATGCCACCAGGGGGCCGAGGAGGGTGGATTATGCCATCCGTTATGCTGAGAGGCTGCTTTGAAGGCCTTCCCTTGAAGCCCAAGTTAGGATGCCGAGAAGGTTGGTTTCCCTCTCGATAGCCTTCCCATGTTAGGAAAACGCTGTTTAGGCTTTTTCAGATGAAAAGCAGGCTCATCTGGGAAAATGTTGGCCCTCTAAGTTTAGGGAACCATACATCTTTACCATGCCCCGAGTTAAATATTCATCAAACGTGACAAAGCTCAGAGTTTGAAGGTGTGACAGGGGGAAGAAGAGCAACACATTGATGGTGAGTAAATGAGGCCCTCTCATCGGTCCACATGTGTGGGGTTTCAACCACATCCCGTGTTTTGTGTGAGGTCTAGCAGACAGAGGGGGAGACACAAGTTGTCGGAGGGAGACAAAGAAGTAAGTAGGTGACTACTGACCAAGGTGATCAGCCGAATGGCCAGTAAAGGGTGCTGGGGGATGCCCATAAAGCCTCCGTGAATGAGATGAGTCGGAGGAAGGGCCCCAGAGAAGGGGACAGCTGAGAGCTATCCAGGGCAGCGGTGTAGTTGATGAATTGCACGGGGAATGGGAATTCCAGGTAAGGGATGATTCAGAAGCCATTTAGTCTGCCTGGAATAGAAACTGCCAAGTGGAGTGCTTGTAGAGAGATGCAGGGAGGAATCTAGATAAGGACTTTAGCTGTTTTCTTGCATCAGCAGCTATCCTGAGGCCCGATCTTAAAGACAGAGAGAGCCTTACCATTGCACGTCGGTTGGCCTCAGCAAATGTGTTAGTCTGGGTAGCCTAGAGAAACAAATCCACAGAAATGCCAATTATATAAGAAAGAGTTTTATATAAAGAGTGATTGTACATTAAGCATCCCAACCCAGTCCAGTCTAAGCCCATAAGTCCGACATTAGCCCATATGGCCAACACCAATCTACAAAGTCCTCCTCAAACTTGCAAAATACACGCAATACCACTGAATGCAGGAGGAAAGCTGAATCAGTGAATGTGTAAGCATCTCAGAGCTGGTGGGGGTCTCCACAAGGTTACTCCAGCACCTAGGGCTGCACCAGGGTAGGCCCAGGTGGCTCCTCCTCGGGGATGTCTTGCAGGAAGTGAGCCTTGCCAGCTGAGGCAAAGAATTAGCTAAGGCAGCTGCACGCTGGTCTGACCATCAGAGAACAAGAGACCCGAGAACAAGAAAGGTGAGGCTCACAGAGCCATTTACCTCTCCTCCCTTCAATGAATCCCACGTGTGTTTATCGGCCAGGTTGGCCCAAGAAACCTTAACTATCACAGCAAGAATACCCCGGGGGGTTCCCTGCTAACTCTAAATGCAGGAGTCAGCATCAGTAAGAAACAAGGAAACCTAGATGGGGTTTCTGACCCTGCAAGTGGTGCAACTGTAATTCTTGACTTTGATTGTGTGGATATCGATGTGCTTTGTCACACTGAGGGCTGAGGGCCTTGTGTTAAGAAGTAGTAGGGAGTGAGCTGAGACAAAGGCATGTGGCGTGAGGTGGTCTGGCTCATATCTGTTTTGTTTTAGTTAAATTTTTTATTACCAAAATAGGGAAAGGAATGTACACATAATCAATGCCAGTTAGACAACGGCAAAAATCCAGCTGTAGTTTCTGAGAGCCACCAGACATCTTAAAGGTACAGGGGGCAAGGTGGAGCCTCCTCCGTGCCATATGTCAATAGGTCATCCCAGGTCGGGGAAGCTTGTGCTCACACAGGGTTGAAGAGAGTCCCAGCTTTGTCATGTGGGCCTCAGACTGCAGCCATCCTTCCTGTAGCACCTCTGCCTTCCACAGCTTGAAATCCTTCCTTCCACCACCACTCCAGGGGACTTCGGATAGAATTCTTCCACAGTTCTGAGCCAGAGAGCGCTTTCCGAACATAGTATCCAAGTCCCTCCTTTAACAGCTGAAAAAACACAATTTACAGCTGAGAGCTCCGGTGGAAGCCATTATTCGCGATGCTGGCTGATGGCAGCCAAGCAGAAAGCAGCTTGGGAAGGAGCAAAGTGTGTGCAAGTGGAGTCCCAGGCTGCCAGCTTCCATCTGCTCTTGAGGTCTGGCTGTATCTTTGCCCTCAGGCTCCGTGAAAGCCGCCGAAATCTTAATTACACATTTCCTTTTTTTTTTTCGCTTCTAGTAACTAAAGTCGCTGCCTGTGACTTGTATGCCTGTTAGTGTACAGACCTCATGAATCAGAATTCAGGCATGGAAAGTCACCTGGAAGCGAAAGAGAGGAGGCCAAGCTGAAATTGTCAATCTTGGTACATTAGGCTCTTGTGCTGGCTGTAATGGATTGCCACAAGCCTGGGGTCCTAAATCAAGAGAAAATCATCCCCTTGTTGGGAATTTCGGACCCTGAAGTCCATAATCAGTGTCTCTGGGTGGAAAGCAAGGTGCTAGCAGGGCCATACTCCCTCCAGGACCATCTAGGCTCCTTCCAAAGGTTCTAGGGCAGAATTTGTTCCTTTTCTGACCTCTGGGAATTGTGGATATTCCTAGTTTGTGGCTGCCTCACTCCCATCTCTGACTTTGTGTATCAAACATCTCTCTCCCTCTCTTTAAAAGGACACTTGTGATTACATTTATGGCCCCATCATATCAGTGCCAGTTATATGTTTCAGAGATTAAGGTGTTGATATCTTTGGGGATCATTATTCAGGCTACCATGGTTCAAAAATTTTTTAGCCCTGCTTGTACCTCTGTACCCATTGCCCGGCCCAGCCCGCCGCCACCATGGCCATGAAAGGCCGCTTCCCCATCCGCTGCACCCTGCAGTACCTGGGCCAGGGTGATGTTGTGTTCAAGGACTCGGTGAAGGTCATGATGGTGAATTACAACTCGCACGAGGAGCTGGATTCTGGGGAGCAGATCCTGGTGGACATGGAGACCAAGAGCAATAAGGAGATCATGGCGCACATCAGAACCATCCTGGGGAAGAACGAGGAAACCTTCAAGAAGGAGGAGCAGGGGAAAAAGCAGTACTCTCACCCAGCCCACTTTGGACCCCTTAAGTACTGCCTGTGGGAGTGCATCTGTGAAGTGCAGGGGCTGGTGCCCTGCCCAGCCCTGGTGCCATTACCTAAGGAGATGAGGGGGAAGTACAAAGGAGCTTTTAAAGCTAGCGCCCAGGACTGAGGCTTGGCCTATGGGACTGAGGGGGTTGGGCCTGACCATATGGCCACAGGGAAGTCCCAGATCCTATCTGTCTCTGGAAACTCTGGACTTTTGTCAATGACAAAAAGGACCTTTTGTATTCCTGTGAAAAAAGATTTTGGGGAGAGGGGGAGAAGGAGCTGCAGCTGAGTTGCTCAATGAATACCTTTGCCTATTGTACCAATAAACACCCCCCCCCCAAAAAATGTTTAAGTGCCGATTAAAAAGAGAGTTAGCCGGTGCCCAGCTATC